TGAAGACCCTGGTGGGGTGTCTCAGGAAGCAGGACTGTCTCTGTCCCTGCACAGGATCTGTGGGTGGTCCCTGGTGCTGGTGTCCAGCTTCAGGGATCTTGGTGCAGCAGGTGGTGGTTCCTCCCCTGTAGTCTCCAGCCACACAGGGGCTTGCAGGAGGGTCTTTCCAGGCTTGGAGTCTCCTCACAGGCAGCTCCTCTGTTGTCCTGCCCCACCTTCACTCTGAGGCAAAAGGGGGGAGAACAGACACACCACAGCACTCTTCCCTGCTACCTCTGGCTGCTACTGCTGCAGGGCTCTGCCAGGGGCTCTCAGAGGGGCAGCCATGGGGAGATCCTTTCCCTGGTCTCCAGCCTATCCACCCCACACTTTGTTCTCTCCCTGGGAAAACTCTTTTAACCAAGCCTCTCAGCCACGGCTCTTCCCCGGCTTTTGCTAACCTCTCTCAATCCAACCCTGCTGGGGTTACATCACCCCTCCCACTTCCAAGAGGGCTACCTCCAAAATAGCTTTACTTGCCCTCAGCGTAAACAGTGTCCCTACTGGGACAAACTGTCTCTTCGCACTCTGTCCCTCTACAGGCCCTTCTTATTCCTTCAGGTGGATCCAGTTTTAATGCTGCTACAAATAAATTATCCTCCTATGATTAAGTCATTAGTACTTATGTTAGCTGGGCTATTGCAATTGCAAGTAAAATATTATTCATAGAGCTGTCAATTTAATATTGTCTTGGGTACAAAAAGATTTGACATGGCAAAGAGGAGGATATACCATGTCACAGGTGATTATAAATTATTAAATGTTTCTTCTAAATCTAACTTAAATGCCATTTACCCTATCACAAATGAGCTAATCTTAACAAGTTTTTAACTTTGGAATGAAATTTTAATATCTGAGAAAATAAAATGGCAAGCTCCCTTATGACTATTGAATAACGCCTTAAGATTGTGTAGCATACTTAGCTGAGAGGAAAATGACTGAATTCAGGTAACACACCTGTCTGATAAAGAAAGGGATCTCTTCATTAGTATAAACTAATAACTGATATTCCAGATCCCTGTTTCAAACTATTTTCACTATTGAGGCATTTCTTGTTTTGGGAAATAAACAGAAAGAGCTTCAACTCTACATTTTGGGAAGTTGAATAATGAATACTCCAACAAGAGCTTAGAGAATTTCTAACGCGCATAGATTTTTTTTTTTTTTATTGGTATTCTAGGAACTCATGGCAAAAATCATGGAGAGGTGAAATGCAGAATTAAAAGCACATTATTTTGGGGAAGCTGGATGTTGATGTATGACCAGGTTAACTCTAAAATAAATATTGAACACAGAATGATGCAGTGTTTTTCAAAGTACATTATTCAAAAACAAATGACTGATTTATGGTTTTGTTTTGGATGCAGGTAAAAATATTCATATACAGACTGGGGATTTTACATGTAAGATTCTTGTATGGCAAAAGTCTGGCTGGAAACTATAGATTACATGCTAGATTTGAGCAACTGTTCGGTTTATTTAATCCAGATGTTTGTATTTAAATAATTTTGGGATAAATAATAGTAAACCAATAAAAGAAGTCTTGTGAAAGTAGTGCTGTTAGAAGTGTTCCTTAAGCAAATTTAACATTCTTTTGATAGAAATTTGGTATGAGAATTCCTAGGTATTTTTAGGCAGAAGGTGGGACAGATTTGCATCTTAGCTTAACTGATTCGGACAAGTTTGGGTTCTGTAGGCAACCCTGTTGAGCCCATGGTTAACGTAATCAAGTCTGTAAGGGATTTGTTCTCCAATTTCAGCTTCAAATTGGTTGGATTTGAATGCGACACTGCAGAACTTGAACAGGGACTGCAGTTTCTTATTGCATTACCTGCACTAGGTGTCCAGTGTCCCTGGGCAGCTAGTGGTGCTTTGGCAGTTGGAGGCTGCCCTGCAGGCTGTATCAGTGGTATTAACTACTTTGTTCCTCTTAATTGATCTCAACATCTCGCTTCCTCCCTCTGTTAGCAGCGACCCCCTCCCTATCCCTTTCTTTCTGACCGTCCATTCGCTGCATTTGAGGAAGCGGGTTGTTGCCTCGGGAAGCTCGTGCCTCTCTGAACCAGTTAGTGTCTAAAGTGCTCCCTGTTCTACCTTCTGCCTGACTTGGGAGTAACAGCTTAACACCTCTAGGCCTTTAAAAAAGCTATTGGAAAAAAAATGGAGATGACAGGATGTGCGACAGGCACCTCATCCGCGGGGCTGGGAGGAGGAGAGCCCCGGCAGTGACATCTTAAACCCCAGCTAAAGTAGCGCCTGCTCTCACCCTCCCTCGGCTTCCTCAGCCAGCGGGACAGGCCGGCGGAGGCAGACAGCAGGCTGCGGCCGCTCAGCACGACTCTGGGGCTCGTGGCGAGAGAGGAGCCCGCGGCGCTCCTGCCTTCCTCCGACGCTCGCTCTCCGCTTCCTGGCCGCGGGCAGACCCTGAGCCAGCCCGGGTCCGGCCGCGTGCAGCCTCCGGCCTGCTCCGGGGCCGCCTGCCCGTGTCCCGCAGGAGCCGAGGCTGCCGCTGCCTCTCGGGCAGGCCCGGGTGGGCGCCCCCGCCGCAGCTGCAGCCTCGTGTGAAGAAGGCGCGTCCCCCAGTCCGTGCTCAGCCTGAGGCAGACTCACAACGCGGCCCCTCCCCCGGCCGGCGGCACTAGCCCGCGGGCCCCGGGGCGGGG